CCCGTTTCAGATTCTGCCCTCGTAGTATGAAGAGCGACGTTGACTTCGGCTTAGGCACAGCTGGCATAGTCCTGGACCGCACTAGGACATAGATGTCACGGTGAACTAGTTCGGCTCGCCTTTTATCTTCACGTTTGCGCATATCAGTCTTGCCAGTCGTTTGTTTCATCCGTTTTGTCCGTCGGTTTTTCCATCTCATCAACCAAACTGGATAACGTGTACCTGAATGGGTCGGCCATCCCCGTGGCGGATCCATTCAGGTACCTGAACAATGTGCACCGAGTTGTCGGACCCATCGTAATCTAATTCTAGACGCTTCGCGTATCCCCACCAGCCCGTCCAGAAATGAGCCCCAGGGGAGTGGAGGTGACGAGGGAAGCGGGGGAGCATGCAGAAGAACAAAGAGCGGGTTGAGCCGCCATACGCCCCAAGAGGGGGAGGATGTAGGAGGAGTCGTCGTCGTCGGAGTAGGAGGAGGAAGACGAGGAGCAGGAGGAGGAGCAGGAGGAGGAGGGGGAGGAGGAGGAGGAGGAGGAGGAGGAAGATGAGGAGGAGGAGATGGAGGAGGGCGAGGACGAGGAGGACGAGAAGGAGGAGGAGGAGGAGGAGAAGGAGGAGGGGGAGGAGGGAGGAGGGGGAGGAGGGAGGAGGAAGAAAAAGAGGAGGAGGAGGAGGACAATGGCGAGCTTGGGGGCCTCTTGGGCCGTCTTTGGGGCCTCTTGGCGGTCCCGGGGGCCTCTTGCGTATCGCGGGGAGCCTCTTGCGGCCTCTTGGGGGTCTCTTGGGGGCCTCTTGGAGGCCTCTTGGGGGCCTCTTGGGGCCTCTTGGGGCCCTCTTGGGGCGCTCTTGGGGCGCTCTTGGGAGCCTTCGAGGCGCTCTTGGGGCCATCTTGGAGGAGATCTATCAAAGAAGGGGGGTTCCCCAATTAGCGCTGCCCCTCTAGAGTGCCTCGAGTCGCCTCTTGGGCTCCCCAAGAGGCCAAAATCCTTACAAAACCTATGGAAAATCAATGTTTTTTGCTTTCTCGCATTTTCGCTCTTGGAGCCTTCTTGGGCCATCTTGGGAGCCTCTTGGGGCCTCTTGGGGGTCTCTTGGGAGCCTTTTGGAGGCCTCTTGGGCGCCTCTTGGCGTCTCTTGGAGCCTCTTGGGGTTCTCTTGGGGCGCTCTTGGGGCGCTCTTGGGTGCCTTCGGGGTGCTCATGGCGCCATCTTGGAGGAGATCTATCAAAGAAGGGTGGAGCTTTAATTAGCCCCGCCCCTCTAGAGTGCCTCGAGTCGCCTCTTGGGCCCCCCCCCAAGAAGCCAAAACCCGTCCAAAACCTACAGAAAATCATTGTTTTTTGCTTTCTCGCCTTTTCGCTCTTGGAGCCGTCTTGGGCCATATTGGATTCTCTTGGGGCCTCTTGGGAGTCTCTTGGGAGCCTCTTGGAGGCATCTTGGGCGCCTCTTGGGGCCCTCTTGGGGCGCTCTTGGGGCGCTCTTGGGGCGCTCTTGGGAGCCTTCGGGGCGCTCTTGGGGCCATGCTGGGAATATATATCAAAGAAGGGGGGGGCCTCAATTAGCCTCGCCCCTCTAGAGTGCCTCGGATCGCCTCTTGGGCCCCCCCAAGAGGCCAAAATCCTTGCAAAACCTAAGGAAAATCAATGTTTTGTGCTTTCTCGCCTTTTCGCTCTTGGAGCAGTCTTGGGCCATCTTGGGCGCCCCAACGCGTCGCGGAACGCCCCGTCCAGGTCAGTGGGGGGGGGCAAGGGGAGGGGTAAACCCCTCCCCGAAGGGAAAGAAGGGGGGTTGGCAGAGGAAACGCTCTAGACCACCTACGCCCTAAAGGGCTGGTGGGATTCATATGTATTTCGCTCAGCTCTTGCCTATCCAGTTCACCCTCATCCTCGAATCCCACCAGCCCTTTAGGGCGTAGGTGGTCTAGAGCGTTTCCTCTGCCAACCCCCCTTCTTTCCCTTCGGGGGGGGGTTTACCCCTCCCCTTACCCCTCCCCACTGACCTGGACGGGGCGTTCCGCGACGCGTTGGGACGCCCAAGATGGCCCAAGACTGCTCCAAGAGCGAAAAGGCGAGAAAGCACAAAACATTGATTTTCCTTAGGTTTTGGAAGGATTTTGGCCTCTTGGGGGGGCCCAAGAGGCGATCCGAGGCACTCTAGAGGGGCGAGGCTAATTGAGGCTCCCCCCTTCTTTGATATATATTCCCAACATGGCCCCAAGAGCGCCCCGAAGGCTCCCAAGAGCGCCCCAAGAGCGCCCCAAGAGCGCCCCAAGAGGGCCCCAAGAGGCGCCCAAGATGCCTCCAAGAGGCTCCCAAGAGACTCCCAAGAGGCCCCAAGAGAATCCAATATGGCCCAAGACGGCTCCAAGAGCGAAAAGGCGAGAAAGCAAAAAACAATGATTTTCTGTAGGTTTTGGACGGGTTTTGGCTTCTTGGGGGGGGGCCCAAGAGGCGACTCGAGGCACTCTAGAGGGGCGGGGCTAATTAAAGCTCCACCCTTCTTTGATAGATCTCCTCCAAGATGGCGCCATGAGCACCCCGAAGGCACCCAAGAGCGCCCCAAGAGCGCCCCAAGAGAACCCCAAGAGGCTCCATCCAAGAGACGCCAAGAGGCGCCCAAGAGGCCTCCAAAAGGCTCCCAAGAGACCCCCAAGAGGCCCCAAGAGGCTCCCAAGATGGCTCCAAAGACGGCTCCAAGAGCGAAAAGGCGAGAAAGCAAAAACATTGATTTTCCTTAGGTTTTGGAAAGATTTTGGCCTCTTGGGGGGCCCAAGAAGCGATTCGAGGCACTTTAGAGGGGCAGCGCTAATTGGGGACCCCCCCTTCTTTGATAGATCTCCTCTAAGATAGCCCCAAGAGCGCCTCGAAGGCTCCCAAGAGCGCCCCAAGAGCGCCCCAAGAGGGCCCCAAGAGGCCCCAAGAGGCCCCCAAGAGGCCTCCAAGATGCCTCCAAGAAACCCCCAAGAGGCCACAAGAGGCTCCCCGAGATACGCAAGAGGCCCCGGGACCGCCAAGAGGCCCCAAAGACGGCCCAAGAGGCCCCCAAGCTCGCCATTGTCCTCCTCCTCCTCCTCTTTTTCTTCCTCCTCCCTCCTCCCCCTCCTCCCTCCTCTCCTCCTCCTCCTCCTCCTCCTCCTTTTCCTTTTCCTCCTTCTCGTCCTCCTCGTCCTCGCAGTCCTCCATATCCTCCTCCTTATCCTCCTTCTCCTCCTCCGCTTGCTCCTCCTCGCGCTCCTCCTCCTACTCCTCCTCTTCCTCCTCCTACTCCGACGACGACGGCTCCTCCTACATCCTCCCCCTCTTGGGGGATATGGCGGCTCACCCCGCCCTTTGTTCTTCTGCATGCTCCCCCGCTCGCCCCAAGAGGGGCCCCAAGAGGCTCCAAGAAGCGCCCCAGAGGCTTCCAGGATGATCCCAAGAGACTCCCAAGATGCCAAAATCCATCCAACACTCTGCAAATCAACGTTTTTGGCTTTCTCGCTTTTTCGCTTCCGATGGCCATCCGAGGCCTGAAGATGGCTCCAAGATGGCCCAAGAAGGCACCAAGAGAAGCCCAAGAGAGCTCCAAGACGGCCCCAAGAGCGCCCAGGAGCGCTCCAAGATTGCCCCAAGAGCGCCCCAAGAGCAACCCAAGAAGGCCCCAAGAGGCCCCAAGAGGCCCCCAAGATGCCCCCAAGAGGCTCCCAAGAGATCCCCAAGAGGCCTAAATATGCTCCCAAGATGGCCCAAGACGGCTCCAAGAGCGAAAAGGCGAGAAAGCAAAAAACATTGATTTTCCTTAGGTTTTGGACGGAATTTGGCCTCTAGGAAGGCCCAAGAGGCGATTCGAGGCACTCTAGAGGGGCAACGCTAATAAGCAACCCCCCCTTCTTTGATAGATCTCCTCCAAGATGGCCCCAAGAGCGCCCCGAAAGCTCCCAAGAGCGCCCCAAGAGCGCCCCAAGAGGCCCCAAGAGGCCCCCAAGAGGCCTCCAAGAGGCCTCCAAGAGACTCCCAAAAGGCCACAAGAAGCTCCCCGAGATACGCAAGAGGCCTCCGGGACCGCCAAGAGGCCCCAAAGACGGCCCAAGAGGCCCCCAAGCTCGCCATTGTCCTCCTCCTCCTCCTCTTTTTCTCCCTCCTCCCTCCTCCCCCTCCCCCTCCTCCGCCTCCTCCTCCTCCTCCTCCTCCTCCTCCTTCTCGTCGTCCTCGTCCTCGCCCTCCTCCATCTCCTCCTCCTCATCTTCCTCCTCCTCCTCCTCCTCCTCCTCCTCCCCCTCCTCCTCCTGCTCCTCCTCCTGCTCCTCGTCTTCCTCCTCCTACTCCGACGACGACGACTCCTCCTACATCCTCCCCCTCTTGGGGCGTATGGCGGCTCAACCCGCTCTTTGTTCTTCTGCATGCTCCCCCGCTTCCCTCATCACCTCCACTCCCCTGGGGCTCATTTCTGGACGGGCTGGTGGGGATGCGCGAAGCGTCTAGAATTATTCCTCAACTGTCATGAAATCAGTGTTCCGCATTGGACACGGATCCGATTCAGGGGCTACTTCCGCGACATATGCTATCAGCAACTCATTGACCGAACGTTGGGGGGAACGTTCTTTTCTCAGCAGGGGCCATGCCAAACTCGAACCAACTTGCGATACGGCCCATACACATGATTCCAGTTCGGGAACGAGCCGCCTCGAGAGCCAGTTTTCGGAAATCCGGCCTCGTCAATATCACCATCCCCCCATCGATTTACTATCTACTACGCTACCATTCCTCAGAGCATCATCCTTATCTCCTCTCATCCACTCGTACCATTCTGGCTCATCCGCGAGCCTTTTCCACGTCCTCCTCGCCCTCCGCCCCCTGCCCATCGCCTCTCAGTCTGCGACTCGACCTGTTCTAGAGTAGGCAAGGGCCGTTCTAATTCTACCAGCGATTCGAGCAGTCTCATGGGCGCCCGTTAGGATTTGGATGTCATGGTCAGCAACCCCCCCCCTCATCCCGACAGAATACGCACGGGCGAGCGTTGGTCCTTGACCGAGTCAACGTGCCAAAAGATGGAGCACGATGGGTTCTCCAAAAGCACTTTCACGTTGCGGGCGTCCGCGAGTACCATCAGCCATGACCTGGGCAATCCGCTGTCTGAGGTGTTTGGGTGCCCACGCTGCCGTTCTCCCTCTCAACCGATCTCTGTCCACATCCGCCTCCTGCCCGCTTCCTCTCACTCTCACCCTCACCGTCTTCCGTGCCGCCCCCCCCCCCCTCCGCGCTGCCCTCTTCCCCCCTCTTACACGCAGCCCGCCTATTCCGATCCGACCCGAACGCTTCCGAGAGACCGAGTCTACACAGTCGGTCTGTGTCGCATCGCTGCGTGAGTAGGTGGGCCGTGCGTTTTACAATGCATGCCGTCGCCTAGGGTCCGCGCAACTAGTTGCGCCTAAGCATGCGCGAGTCATGCTGCATACCGCTGTTGCGAATCCCCGCCCGCCCCCCAGACGCTATCACTCCAGGCCCTCTAAGGGTCGCACACAGCTTCGGCCACAAAGTTGGCCTCGAGCACGTCCCGCCGATCTTCATCACCACGGATGTGGCTGCCCCTGTCCCGTTTCGTGTGGAAGACTGTGATGTTCAACCACGAGGAACATTCGGGCTCGAGAACGAGCGAGCCGCCAGGCTTGACCTGTAATACTCCCAGTGCGCAAGTAAGGAGCCCAAGCAAGGTGCACACGCCCTCGGATTCATGCGACGTACGCCTAGGACGAACGAAAGGAAGCGACGACGTCTCCCCTATAGAGCAGACAACGTTGAACGCGACTTGGACGCAGACTTGGACGCAGTTTGGGCGCACCCAGGTTCGCGTCCAAATCACCGCCAAGCCGCGCCCAGCGCGATCTGCGTCGAGGGCGCACAAGAGAGGGGTACACGTGGGGTGGGGAGGCTGGGCACAAGCGTTGCACCCCCACGCGGCCTGTCAAATCCTCGTGCTTTGAAGCCCCCGGCGATCAAGGCTCGCGTAATGCCACCAGTTCCACAGAACACTTCAAAACAGTCTAAGTATTGATCGATTACAACGGGCCCTTCCCCCTTCAGCCACACAGCAACCTCATTTACAGCCGCATCCATCAAGTATTCAGAACTGTCACTAGTCAGACGTCGCTCCCCTTCGTTCGGCCACCGCTGGGAAACTATATCAACGAGCCAACTTGGTGCGCCGTGGCCCAAACCCAGCCTCTCGGCCATGCCTCTGGACAGGCGGTGCGTAAATGTATTTAGAATAGCCAAGGGCGCCAAGCACGCGGGCATGGTGGTGAAGGGTCCGAGAGAACGTGGCTCGGTGACACCGCTGGGCCAGATTGCGCACGGTGAGGTTCAGAGACTCGTCTGTGAAGGTCGAATATAGACGAGGAGGGCCAAATTCCCATATCCTGTTCGGAAAATGACTACGTGCATCGAGTGATCAGCTGCTCTTGCATCATCCCCGATGTCTGACATCAGCCCATTAAGAGCCCCGACATCCCCCACTTGGAGAACATTTTGGGGAAGTGAGGGACGTGGACTGAGTGCAAGAGCAGCCGATCGTCGATGCCTCGGTGGGCGGAATTCTCACAACCTGAAACGTTGTCATGGATGAGGGACGAGTGAGTGGGAGGGACGAGACTAACATGTAATGCCGATTCACCAGATAAGAATAATAACGATGCGAATCATCGTCACCACCGACGATGGTGACGATGACTCGGAGGATTTACCATATGATGTTGGACGAAGAGTTCGGAGGACGAGTTGGAGCAAAGAGAAGGGTGAGGAGGAGGAGCTGAAGGAGTGGGGAGGGCTCCTGTGGGTGAGATGGCAGAACAAATGCCACTTTGGGGTAAGCCTCACCTTCGCATGTTGGGCGTGCACAACGACCCGCGCTGCAGCATCCAAAGCACACGTGTACTCGGAGTGGTTCGGTCGTGCGTCCATCTCCTTCGTCACCCTGAACCACGCCACCAACGCGTCAACACTCATCATCAGAGATCCAGCACACGGCACACGGTCGAAATATGTGTCCAATAGATATTTACAAAACGGGATTAGCATCGACATCTCCGCTCCTTTGATTTTCATGGGGCAGCCTGGGTGGGGTTCCCCCCCCCTCCTTTGTATTGTGAGCCCACCCCCGATCATGCCTGATGTGAGTCTGCCCATTCTTTGTTCATGAGGTATGTTGTTGATGTCGTACCATGCATGTAACTCTGATTCCATATGTTTCACCCGTTGTGGAATAGCCCGCTTGCGGGCCACATTCGCCTCTAGAACCCTCCACAATACTGCCGAACCTAGCCGTTGCGCCACACCTAAATGGACAGTATGGAGCACGTCCAGGGCAAGTGTGCTTGCGGGGCTTGACTTCAACATGTTAGAGAACAATGGGCTTCGATGCGTCACTGGGTCCAATGCCGCTCCTTTAGCGTCTCTTTGAACCCGCCGGAACACAATGTCAAAAGGCACCGGCTGGCTGTACACCAATCGGATGTCTGGAAGCTCAGGCGAGGGGAGCACCGCATCATTAAGCATTAAAGGAATCCCCGCCACCTCTTTGACTACAACGAGCCCACCAACCTTTTTTGACTCTGGGTCTGCAAAGCGCAACATGCCTAGTACCTGTGCCAGCTTTTCCTGAGAATCAATACGAATGGTGTGCTCGCAGCGGTCACATGCTTCTGAATACGATTCTGGATCTCTGTCTGGGAACGGAAGGCCCTCGGAGCTCAGGAAACCAGGGTATGTCACGTGCAAAGAATCCAGCGGCGCCGAGCAACACGGACAAGGATTGAAAATGCTGTTCCACCCTGACAGCCCGAACGTTTTCTGGAACTCAGCCCAATCCCCCTTGATGTACAACAATACTGCCCTGTACCCGAGGCCCCTGCCTGCCCGCCCATCCTCTGCCCAGCATGTCCCGTCGCACTGTGCATCGGGAGCCCGCCCTCTCACCATGGCACTGACCTGCCACTCCACGACACGCATAAACGCGTACAACGTACAGTGCCCTGCACACCCGCAAGCACATTTGTCGAGCGAGCGTAAGTACCCAATATAGTGACGCTTGTGTGTAAGCAGATTAATGATACTAACGTTCAGGACGCTGTCCGCGCGCCCCGCATGAAGAGGCGAATGCCGCACTGAGTCTGCGTATAATGCTATGGGAACGGGCCACTTTCCAGTTTCGTTCAGACATTGCTGCACGTGGGCGTGATTTTGATAGCTGCGGGTCAGCATGACAGAGTTTACATCATCGGCGCCATATTCCAAAGTTTGTCGGCACACATCATCGTGCAACACTTCTTCTGATATTGATTCGAACACAAGTTGCACGTCTGTGCTTGCCTTTGTCAAATGAGCTCTCCCGCGAACTTGCATCGGGATGGTTATTTTCATCATGGCACCGACTGCAGGCATACGTTTATCTACATGATCTTTATATTTGCCAGACTGTTTACCAGGAGCCATCCCCCACGAATCCCAATGAGCCCCTCCAATCCCAGCCCTGGCGCAAAAATAACATCCAACTGCAAGGTCTTTAGCCGTCATTTGTCTGCCCGAAACGTAAATCCCAACTAAGTGGTGAAATAAATCGGATCCCGCCAAACGTTGCTGCGCACCATCGGTGCTGGGCTTCCACATGCGACGGGGTAATCTTTTGGGGGCCATGATGCGTTCAATATGGGGTTGGGTAAGCTCTGAAACCTGATTGCGCCAAAACTGCGGACTTGATGCCGTGACCACAGCCCTTTCCCTCAGCATCACCCCGCAGACAAGAGCACCAGGCACGTGCGCGGCGCCAAATGCACCTGCACATCGCGCGCGTGCTCGGTACCAAATGCACCAGCACGTTCGCTTCAAACTGACGATCTTGCGATGCCGTGCGATCTTGGAAGGAGCGCAGCGTTGCACCCCACCCGCCCCGCGCACATCACGCGTGTCCTATGTGTCCTCGATGTCATGTGATCTCTGTATGTTCATTGCACGCGCGGAAGTGTGTTGTTGCGCTCATTGGCATTCGAGCGTGCACGATTATGACATGATTCATCACTCTCCTGATGCGCGCGCACATTATATTCCAGACTGTGTCATGGTCCTCTCGGCCATGCAGCTCGATCCTCGAGCGTTCGTCTGCCAGACGGGCATCGCAGAGAACAAATGTAGCTGTCACGCAGCGCGATTGGATTCACCCTCAGCGCTGTCACACAGAAAAGCAACAACTCAGCTCACTATTCTGTCCCACGACTCGGTCGCTGAGGCCAGGACTGCTGTACCCCGAGCCCTAGACTAAAGTCGCTGCGTGTGCCACGACATGCAGGCTGCTGGGCTGGCTTCTTGTATAGTTCCTCCCGCCTTTGTACTACATGTGCTAATAATTGGATGTGCCGTGTTTTTTTGTTTTGTTTTCTCTCTCTATATATATATGTATATACATGAAACGTTCATACATGTGACCATCTGTCTACATAGACACACGCTGATGTTTATACGACCATCTGGCGACACACGCGGTGTATGCATTGGCATCCTTTTGTAGTGTTACGGGTTCCTCTCTGCTTGTCTATCTGTCTGTCTGTCAGTATCTCGTTCTCTCTCTCTCTCTCTCTCTCTCTCTCTCTCTCTCTCTCTCTATCTCTATCTCTCTCTATGTGTATATATATCGTTACACTACATACTTGAGCATGTACGTGCGCATGTTGAAGGCATATGCGTGGTGCGCCTGTCTCTCACGTGCCCGCGACAATGCCTACACGTCGTGCTTAGTTCCTATCATATCCGTCTCTACTTACTGTTAGTGTCACAGCTGTACATGCGCCGCAGCAGGCCATCATCTTAATTATTGACGCTTCGCGTACCCCCACCAGCCCATCCAGAAACGATCAGCAGGGGACTTGGCGAGTCAGGGGCGGCAGGACGCATGTAGTCGCGCAGCAGTCTTCGAGGAAACAAGGATCACACATAGCTTCCCGCATTGAAGTTTACTATGGAAATCAGTACAAGCTACGATTGTGCTTCGATGAGTGGTGATGAGTGTTTCGATGACTCGTAATGGCTGATGCACTGATTTATATCTGAAACTCGCGTGCGTTCCGAAACTTGGAGGCATCTTTGGGCTCTCTTGGGACTCTCTTGGGCCCCTCTTGGGGCCTCCTGGGGCTCTTGCTTGGCGCTCTCTTGAAGTCCTCTTAGGGCCTTCGTGGGGCTTCGTGGTGCTCTATTGGTGCGTCTTGGGGCCCTCTTGGGGCTCTTTGGGGGTCTGGGAGGCCTCTAGGAGCCGTCTTCGGCCGCATATATCAAAAGAGGGCTGGTCTCAATTCCCATCGCCCCTCGGAGACACAAACATGCCGTCTTGGGCCCCTGTTGGGCCGCTCTCGGATCGCTTTTGGGCGCTCTTGGGGCAATCTTGGGTGGGGCCCTCTTGGGCGTCTCTGGGAGCTTTCTTGGGCTATCGTGGGTCCATATTGACGCCTGAAGAGCCCATCTGAAGCGAAAAGGCGCCAATGCCAAAAACATTGGTTTCCCATAGGTTTTGGAGCCATGTTGGCCTCGGAGGGCATGCGAAACCGTCTTGGAGCAGTCTTGGAGCCTCTTGGATGCGTGTCTGAGGCTATCTTGAGCCAAGTTGATGAATGTTGGGCCATCTTGGTGGCCATCTTGGGCTCTCTGAGGCTCTCTTGGGGCCATCTGGAGCCCAAAATGACCCTATGCCACATCGCTGCCCTCGCCGTCCAGAGGCTGGGAGGGCGGGGGGGAGGGGGTGGGTAAACCTCCCCTCGAGCAGGAAGAGGTTGGCAAAAGAAACACGCTAGACCACCTCCGCCCAGAGGGCTGGTGAGATTTACCGATCCACATCTGCCCAGTCGCGCGCTCGCCCTCTCCATTCCTGATTCTTCCTGCTGCATCGCCGCCGGAGCTCAAAATCAAGCGCTGCCTGGGCTTGGACGGGACTTGGACGGGACTTGGACGGGACTTGGACGGTACTTGGACGGTACTTGGACGGTACTTGGACGGTACTTGGATGGTATTTGGATGGTACTTGGATGGTATTTGGACGGTACTTGGACGGTACTTGGACGGGGAGATGGGGGTTTTATATGTATTTTACAAGGTTTCGTCAACTTGGACGGGACTTGGACGGTACTTGGACGGTAGCCGTTTTGGATGGGTTTTGGATGGTACTTGGACGGGACTTGGACGGTACTTGGACGGTGTTTGGATGCGTGTTTGCTGAGTTTTTTCGATGACGGAGAGGGTTCACGGGTCAAAACGTATGATTTTTGCATTTCTTCCCCCCCAAATCGTGCCAGCACCAGAAAATCTCGCTACAGCCATGCTCGCGCACGAATCACTGAGCGACCTTGCGCCGCTTGGGCACTGACTTCTCTGGAACAGGGTTGCGAGCCTGCTTCTGGCGGAAAATCTTCTTGATCTCATTCCCCATGTTGTTCAGCGGCCCAGTGATGGCCTGCCGATCCCGTTTCTCCGCGCTACGTCTACCCGATTGCTAGGTTCATTGGTCTGACTGCTCGTTCGCATCGAACATGCATGCTGATCCGTGGCAGGTGCATCATACATCAAACAGAACACTCGAAAGCACCAATATGTGGAGCCAGCCGAGTCGAGGCGAGCTAAAGTTGGGGTAGGCATAGCGGAGGCAAGGGCTGGCAATGGGCGATGGGTGAGGATGGGGCATACGGGCAGGGTTGCGTCGGGGGGACGGGATGCCAGAGATGAAGTTGGGTGGCAATAGTCGATGAGGCGCACGGGGAGGAACATGGCACGACCCACCCCCGCACCGTGGTAAGCTGCTTGATCTTCACCTCGAACTCGGCCTCGCCGATCCTCTTCTGCAGGAGGGACACGTTGGCGCTGGTCATCGCCTCCCTGTAGAACGTCTCCTTGTCCATCTCCGTCTTTACCTCCCCCCGCAGATGCGGCCCGCGCCAGTCCCACCCCCCTCCTCGCTGCCGTCCCTGCGTCGAAGCTTAGGTTGAGAACGAGTGCCCAAATGTCAGAGCTAGGGTCGAGAACGAATCCCACCAGCCCTCTGGGCGGAGGTGGTCTAGCGTGTTTCGTTTGCCAACCTCTCCCTGCTCGGGGGGGGGCCCCCTCCCAGCCTCTGGGCGGCGAGGGCAGCGATGTGTCAGAGGGTCCTTGTGGGCTCCAGATGGCCCCACGAGAGCCTCAGAGAGCCCAAGATGGTCTCCAAGATGGCCCAACATACCTCAAGCTGGCTCAGGGTAGCCTCCGACACGCATCCAATATGCTCTACGACGGCTCCAAGGCGGTTTCAAGCGCCCTCCGAGCCCTCCAAGGACCACTCCAAGGGGCCAACATGATTCCAACACTTAGGGAACAATGTTTTTGGCTTTGGTGCCGTTTCGCGTCCGATGTGCTCTTCAGGCGTCAAGATGGGCCCACGATGGCCGAAAGGGAGTTCCCAGAGACGCCCAAGAGGGCACCAAGAGCGCCCAGCAGCGCTCCGAGAGCGACCCAACAGAGGCCCAAGACGGCAGGTGTGTGTCTCCGAGGGGGGGCGATGTGAATTGAGACCAGCCTTGTTTGATCTATGCGGCCTAAGACGGCTTCTAGAGGCCTCCCAGCCCCCCCAAAGAGCCCCAAGAGGGCCCTAAGACGCCCCAAGAAGCCCCACCAATGCCCTAAGAGGACCTCAAGAGAGCACCAAGAAAGAGCACCAGGAAGCCCCAAGAGGGGCCCAAGAGAGTACCAAGAGAGCCCCACGATGCCTCCAAGTTTCGGAACGCACACGAGTTTAAGATACAAATCAGTGCAAGAGCCATTACGAGTCATCGAAACACCCATCACCCCTCATCGAATCACCATCGTAGATTGCACCGATGTCCATCTTAAACTTCAATGCGGGAAGTCATGTGTGACACTTGTTTTTTTCCGAAGACTGCTGCGCGAATGCATGCGTCATGCCGCTCCTGATTCACCAACTCCCCTGCTGATCGTTTCTGGATGGGCCAGTTGGGACACGCGAAGCGTCAATCATTTCCGATTGCCTGATGCCCATCTAACAGATCGCGGGGATATGAGTGCGAACGATGGAGACGATGAGCAAGAAGAGGGCGAGGAAATAGGGCGTGGGAGAGGAGCGACCAGGATGGGACATCTGACATGTCAAGGTGGTGTTGTTATGATGAGGACGTGGGCACGATGCAGTGAGGGAAATATAATGATGGCAAGGGCGAGATAATTTGCTGTCTAGGGGGACCATCGCCGCGCGCACCTGAGGGCACATCGCCCCCCCGCCTTCGTTACTCAAACCACCCTCACGCCGAATGTGTTTCATTTAGTGGCGCTCCGAGATGGATCAGTCCCTGTTTGACGGGCTCGCGACTAGATCGAGAGGGTTACGCATGAGGTCTCAGATTGATGATGCTGTATATGCACCGATTCGCTGCGATATCTAGAGGTTGACATGATGACGCGCATGATTTCGGTTATGGGACATGTGGTGATGGATGCGCTAATGGTGAACGATATGCTTGATCGTGTGGATGGTAATGACGGCTACAAGGCGAGCGGACATCACGAGGAGGAGAGGTGATTTAAAGGACGTGGATGCGGAGGATCGATGATGCTGACATCTGCTATGGTCGGTGCCGACGGCGGAAATAGCCGTTCTCCTGCGCACAGCTCGCTGTGTCTGTTGAGTGCATACCGCGAAAACACGCGACTGGCTGTCGTGCATTGCGATGTGCAATGCAAGCGTAAAATATCAATGTGTGGCGTGCGGCGTGCGGTGGCATCTCGGCCACACTAGAACATGCCCACAGTCTCCACCGCGTCAAACAGCCCGCCGCCCGAGCCGAAAATCTCTGCCATCGGATCGGTGTTGGCCACACTTGATCCTGCAGCGCCACTGCCGCCAACGGATGGCGGAGGGTCGGGTGAAGCAGAGCGGCTCGCTCTGACTTTCTTGGCGGGCGGCGAGCACGGATCCACTGGCGCTGGACGCACCTGCTGCGGGCCGACCTTCGCGGGGGGGGACTTGACGGAGCGGCGCCTCTTGACGCGGTCTGGCGGCGAACCGGCCGTGGCTGGCGGCCTAGCTGGTGGCGAGCTCGCCGTTGGAGGCGCTGGAAGGCGCTCAGGAGTGGCACGATTCGCTGGCGCCTGCACGTCCGTGTCCAATGATGCTGCAGGCCTCTTTTTGAATGCGCCATCCTTGGCGCGAGCCTTGGCGTGCGCCTTGGCGCCCGCCGTGGCGCCCACCGCGGCGCGCTTACCAGCGCGCATCTTGGTGGGCGCCTTCTCCCCGCCCTCCTCGCCAGACTCCTTGGCGGGCTTCCTGCCAGCACTGGGCGCCGCCTTCGCATCAGCATCACTCTCGACTGCATCTGCCTCGTCCTCCTCGCCCTCCTCCTCCTCCTCCTCATCGCCAGCGGCCTCTCCCTCCTCGCAGCTCTGGTTGCCGTCGTCGGCGGGCTCCGCGTCATCCTGCGCCTCCTCATCGCACATCTTCATTGGTGGCGCCTTGGCAGCTGGTCGTTTCGATGCAGATGGCTTCTTCATCGGCACCTCGAGCGTCTGCCTGTACGCTTGGATGTAGTTGCGCTTGACAATCTCGATGTCCTGCTTGCTCGTCGTCCCAGCTGCCAACTTTTTCATCTCGCCGAGCAGCATCTCCTCGTGGCCTGTCATGCCGTCTTGAACCTGGAAATTCACAACCATTTTCTTTTTGGTGCCATCCTTGAACATCTGCCAGATCCCCATCTCTGGGCTGCCCTTCCTGGACCACTTGCTGAGCTGCAGCTTGTCGCTCTTGCGCTCGATCTCCAACAAGATGCCGCTCCCCTTCCTCTGCTTGAGGTCGCCGTTGTCCGCCCAGCCACGCATGCACTCGTAGGTGAGCCCAGGGATCGCGTGCTCCGTGCCGTCCTTGAACTTTGCGACGACCTCATGGTGGCCAGGGGCGTCTCCTGTATCCACGAGCGGCAGGCTGTACTCTGGAGCGGGGTTGGACTTGCTCGCGTCCAGGCGGTAGACGGCCTCAAGAGGCCGAAGCTACAGAGATGGAAGTGGCGTGCCAAGAGGGCAACTGCCTCGCAGCCCTTCTAGCGCGCCATTTCCATCCGAGTCGGGTTGCACCCGCTGTCCTTATTGACCAGGTCGATCTTGTATTCGTACGACTTCTCCTCAACAGGCTACCACATGGGCGATATGACAAAGTCGGTTCAGTGAGGGTGGTTCCATGGCCCCAGGGATTGGATGAGTGGCCTGGCAGGAGGGGGCATCCTGGGCCCATAGGGCCCACCCTCATTGATCCTCTTTCCCCCCATCGCCCATCTAAGGTAATGCCTATTGATTGCTCGTTGGCTCCGCATTCTCGAGGTCCCTCCACTGCTGGACGAACGGCATGACCCACGAGGCGCTTTCTGGACAATCATGTGTCCTACTTCGGGGAATCCCGCCTCGATCCTAACACATTTGCGCACGTGGGGCGCGCGCCCTGAACTGCGCGCGCGCCAGCACGTGCGCAAATGCGTTAGGATTGAAGCAAGCTTCGCCGAAGTCCTGCGATGCTTGTTCTTGATCACTCCCTGCTGCGCGTGCCGCATCATCGAGCGAAACATTCTCGACGCTCTCTCCGCCCAGCTGGTCTCCTGGTCCGCGAGGTTCCAGCCCGAGCCGTTAGCCTCCAGCACTTGCTGGAACAGCTCTGCCCCCGTCGATTGGGAGATGCTGGTCTGGGGGAACATGGCCTGGCGCGCCTCGAGGACCAGCTCCTGCCACTCGGTGATCGCTGCTGTGTCGCACTCGGCCTCGAGGTCGTCAGCGTGCGAGAACTCGTCGGCATCTGAGAAGTGCTTCGTCAGCACCTCAAGCAAACGAGTCGTGTCCTCGCATCGCAGGCGCTTGGCCGGCATGGCGCCCAGCACGGCGCCTCTGCACAGCCTGAAAAAAGGCTGCGGGTGACGGCGATGATCTGAGCGTGACACGCACGGATCACCGTGGATGGTGATGGGGGCGATGCGCTTAGGGGTGAAGAGAGGAGAAGACATTGGACGAGGAGGGGCAGGATGTGGAAGGGGTGGCGAAGGATGGCGAGGGTGAGGTGGGGGAAGTGAGATGGGCAGGCGGGCGGTGGCGCGATGAAAGGTGATGCTGAGGGGGGACAGGGTGACGATGAGAACGACTGCGCCGAGCAAACCAGTAAACTGCGCGACACCTCCAACTGGTATCGACCAATCGAAGCTGAGGAGGACCTTATCGCTGCCCTCTCGAGAACACATGCCACCCCCACCCCCTACATGCACGGGACTACACCGTGGGCGCGAGCCGTTCACCCAGAGAGGAAACGATTGTATCGTGTGACGGGTGCGTTGGGGCTCCTCGCAGATACGCACGTTTTTGGAGCTTGGTAGACGCACGCCTTCGTAGACCACGCGCAGATGGATTTGGATGCGACTTGGACGCGCCCAGGTCGCGTCCAAGTTACATCCAAACACGAGTGGTTCACGCGGAGTCTACTATGCATGTGCCCACGTGACCCCATCCTGACTGAGAGGTGATGCGACCCCCCATCCCCTGGCACCAAGTCGTGGTTGAAGTCCAGGTCACCCCTGATGTCCTCTGCGTTGGCCCACTTCCACTCCTTGTCAGCAGCGATCAGCGAATCAATCGTAGTCACCTCCCCTCGCCAGCATCTGTGCCAGTTCCGTGCATACGAGAAGGAGGCGGAGGAGGAGGAGGAGAAGGAGGAGTGGGATGAGAAGACGATGGGAAATCGTAGCGATGAGCAGTAGGTGAAGGGATAGAGTAGCAGACGGTCGAGCAACAAACAAACATTACACGCATTCAACTAGACTCCCTGAGGGAGCGCGCACATCATCCTCGCGTGAGCCACACTCGTCTGTATCACGCACCCTTGCCTTTCCCGCGTAAGATCGTTCGCACACCAACTCCACATGTGGAGATGCGCAGATGTAGGGCGTCGGATGTAGACAGCGAAACAAATGGGTTGGGAGGGAGACCGTTGGGACGGTGATTGTTTGCTTGGAAGGGTTAGCCAATCGGATGCGAGGTGGCCAGAAAGGGGCTCATCCTCCTCCTCCTCCTCGTCCTCCTATTCCTCAGCATCCTCTATCCACCCAGTAGCCTCCATCTAATTCTCCCGCGTCCCCCCTTACCCCTGGCCCTGTCATTTGATCCTCTATATGTGTCAACGCGTCATCCCCAAGACCCTTGACATCCTGATATCCCAACTTTCGGTGCAGCAGTCATCGGTAGCACCGCCATCTTCATCATCGTCATCTAATTACAGTCTGCATCGTCTTCATCTCCTGTGGCATGCCCTCCACCCTGCGGGGCCCTCCCCTGCTCTCCTGCGAAATGTTCTGCGTGTACAGCGTCCTGACCTTGCGGAACTCCAGCAACCATTCAGCTGCCTTCTGGACCGCCCTCTTCTTCGGCTCACCGCTGCTTGCACGGCCCTCCTCCGCCTTCTTCGCCTTCTCGGTGCTCATGGGCTGCTCCTGCAGCTCGCCGTGCTTGGGCGTCTCGGACACCGCGTCGCCGAGCATGGTCACCGCTGCACTTGCACCACCAGCACCGCGAGCGCCGCCACCTGCGCGACCGTCGCTGCCAGAGCCCGCCTCCATCCATGTCTCGTAGCTCACCCACGCCTGCGTCCAGGTGTCCTCCAAGGAGTGCTCCACGAAGAGGAACATGAGACAGTCCGTCATGTTGCACCACTTCGTCCAGATGCCGCCCATGACCACCGCCTTCGCCGCGTACGCGTAGGACATTTTTTGGCCCTGAGGTCCTCCGCCAAGCTTCCATGCCAGCCTCGCCAACGGCATGTAGACGCCTTTCATCTTCTGCGACTTTGTGTTGCCAACCGACTTCTCGAAGGACCGCCGCTTCTCCCACTTGTGGAACTCCCACTTCGCCCACTCCTGGCGGATCTCCTTCTTCGCAGGGTAGCCCTCCGCCTTCATGTACTTCTCCGACCATTGATTCTCGCTCTGCATCACGCGGTCCCACCGCCCAGCAATGGCATTGCCCTTCTTCTTCTCCGTGCTGAACTTGAAGCCGCCCGCCTGCAAGGACTCCCACATCATGCGCTCCTCACGCTCGAACGCCGTCTCCTGGACCTCGGGCTGGGCGTCGAGCTTCTTCTCGGGGCTCTCGGGGCGCATCTCGCGCAGCTTCACAATCAGCGCGCCTTTGTAGAACTTCTCGAACGTGGCGTCTACATCCTGGATGTTCGCCGTCTCGTCGGACGCCGTGAGG